AGCCTATGTCTCAATCCAGTGCTATATTGTAAATAATGCTGCCATGAATATTGGTATGTTTGAAAGAGGATGTTAACACAACAAATTAGATTCCCATTTAGCAATTTCAACACGTACTGGAAGGAGTCCTGGGGTGGCACTGTAGAATAAGCAATAAACCATAAGGTCAGTTTGAACCTGAAGGTCGGCAGTTTAAACTCACTACCCACTCACTGGAAACTCTACACAGGGTTGCTATGAGTTGGAACCGACTCTAAGCACTTAACAACTATAGCATACGTCTTGGGGTCCTGGTTTGGTGCTATAGGGTAAGCACTGGACTGCTAACTGCAAGGTTGGTGGTACAAACCCACCAGCCTCTCCTCAGAAACCCTATACAGCACTAACTAAACAGCAACAATATACATATTGTTCAGTGACATGGGTTGTGTTTTCCAGTGTATCAATATTCTCATGATTTCCATTCTGTTTGTTCTGTTTCTGTTCATCTAGCTTCTCTTTCCCCCTCTGACTTTAGTTGTTTATCACTACTTTATGGTAAATGTTGATCATTCAGTCTTATATAGATGACTTTTTAAGAATTCAGTACTCACTGGTGATATTATTTAGCCAAAAGGTGACCTACCTCCTCAAGTGGTTTCAGTTCCACATTTAAAGAGTATCTTGGGGCAACAATCTCCAGGTTCCTCTAGTTTCTACAGGTCCATTACATCTGGCCTTTTTTAGAACAATTGAGTTTTCTCAGATTTGTTTTCTGATCTCATAGAGATCGGTGGAACCCCTGAGACTATGGCCCTTCCTCACCCTTCAAACCTGGACCTGAACTGTGGCTCTGCATCAGGGAGGTGCACAGGCCTTAGAACTACCAACCACACAAGACCACAAGGATAGCATTTGCCCAGGGATAAAGCTCAGAAAGTGGGAAGAGATAGAAAAGAAGGCCGAGTGGAAATGGTAAGCAGGGAGGAAGTAGGAAGAGATAGAAATGAAGGCCGAGTGGAAATGGTAAGCAGGGAGGAAGTAGAAAGAGATAGAAAAGAAGGCCAAGTGGACATGGTAAGCAGAAGGAAGTAGGAAGAGTGCTGTTACACTGTGGGGATTGTAATCAGTGTCATGAGACAAAATGTCTATGAATTGTTGAATGGAAAATCAACTTGCTCTGTAAACTTTCTTGCAAATCACAATGAAAAGTTAAAAAACAAAAAAGGAAAGGAAAGAAAGAAGCTGCCTATTGAGGCCTCTGGTCTGGCTCTTTAGAGTAAACAATGAATCAGTAACTGCAAGATCAGCAGTTTAAACTCACCAGCTGCTCTTAGAAACCTTACACAAGGTTGCTGCTATGAGTTGGAACTGATGATGGCACACGACAACACGCATGCAGAATTCTCTTCAAAGAGTGTATGAACCGGTTTTCACATGTATGGTCTTCTCACTAATTAGGGAGTTACAGTCCTTTACACATGTTCATTAAAAATAATAATTGTGGGGTTTGTCTACATTTTTCTTCCATTATTTCGGGACCATCTATTATGTCTGTTCAGAATGGTTGGTACTGGTGGCCAGGCACCATCTAGCTCTCTGGCTCAGGATAGATCAGGTCGTGGTTCAAGTAGACTGTCGTTGTTGTTGCTAGCTGCCTTTGAGTTGGTACCAAATACACAATAGAATAAAACACTGGCCAGTCCTGGGCCAACCTCAGTCATTGCTACACCTGAGCCCATCGCTGCTACCACTGCGCCAATCCATCTCGTTGGGGGTCTTCCTCTTTTTCTCTGACCCTCTACTTTACCAAACATGATACTTTTGTCCAGTGACTGGTCCCTCCTAACAATATGTCAGAAGTATACGAGATGAAGTTTGTCAATCCTTGCTTCCAAGGAACACTCTAGCTATACTTCTTCCAACACAGATCTGTTTGTTCTTTTGGCAGCCCATGGTGCTCTTAATATTCTCCTCCAACACCATTATTCAAATGCATCAATTCTTCTACAATCTTCCTTATTCACTGTCCAACTTTCACATGCGTATGAGATTGTTGAAAATACCATGTGCTTGGGTCAGGCACACCTTAGTCCTCAAACTGACATCTTTGCTCTCAAACACTTTAAAGAGGTCTTGTGCAGCAGATTTGCCTAATGCAATGCGTTATTTGATTTCTTGACTGCTGCTTCCATGAGTGTTGATCGTTGATCTGAGCAATATGAAGTCTGTGACAATTTCAATCTTTTCTCCATTGATATGGATGTTGTTTATTGGTCCAGTGGTGAGGATTTTTGTTTTCTTTACATTGAGATGCAACCCATACTGAAGGCTGTGCTCTTTGATCTTCATAAGTAAGTATTTTAAATGCTCTTCACTTTCAGCAAGTAAAGTTGTATCATCTGCATATCGCAGGTTTCAATTAGTCTTTCTTGAATCCTGATGCCACATTTTTCTTAATATAATCAAATTTCTCAGATTATTTGCTCAGCATACAGATTGAAAAAGTATGATGAAAGAATCCAGCCCTGGTGCACACCTTTCCTAATTTCAAACCATTCAGTGTTCTCTTGTTCTGTTCAAACAACTGCCTCTTTGTCTATGTATAGATTTCTCATGAGCACATTCAAGTGTTCCATAATACTCATTCTCTGCAATGCTGTCCATAGTTTGTTAAGATCCACACAATTAAAAGCCTCTGCATAGTCAATAAAGCACAGATAAACATCTTTCTGGTATTGTCTCCTTTCAGCCAAGATCTGATATCAGTAATAAGATTCATCATTCTATGTCCTCGTTTGAATTTGACTTGAACCTTTGGAATTTCTCAGTCAATGTATGGTTGCAGCCATTTTTGGATTACCTTTAGTAAAACTTTACTTGCATGAGGTATCAATGATATTGTTGGATGATTTCCGCATTCCATTGGGTCACCTCTCTTTGGAATGGGTACAAAAATGGATTTCTTCCAGTCAGTTGGCCAGGTAGTTGTCTTTCAAATCTCTTGGCAGAGATGAGTGAGTGCCTCCAGTGCTGCATCAGTTTGTTGAAATATTTCAGTTTGTAGTCTATCAATTCCTGGTGCCTTGTTCTTTGCCAGTGCCTTCAGTGAGCCTTGGACTTCTTCCTTCAGAACCATTGGTTCTTGGTCATATACTACCTCTTGAAATGGTTAAAAATTGGCTATTTCTTTTTTGTACAGTGACTCTATGTATTCCTTCTATCTTCTTTTAGTGCTTCTGTTTCATTCAGTAATTTGTCCATAGAATCTTTCAATACCAAAGCTGAGCTTTGAAGTTTTTCTTTGGTTCCCTCATCTTGAGAAATGCTGAGCATGTTCTTCCCTTTTGGTTTTCTAACGCCACGTCTTTGCTCATTTCATTATATTTGATTTTGTCTTCTCAGGCTTTCCTTTGAAATTTTCTGGTCAGCTCTTGTACCTCCTCACTTCTTCCATTTGCTTTAGCATCTTTATGCTGGAGAGCAAGTTTCAGAATCTTCTCTGACATCCATTTTGATCTTTTCCTTCTTTCTTGAGTCTTTGGTTTCCTCCTTTTTCTTTTGTTCCAAACAAGTTAAAACTAATAGTTACATCTTAGATGACTACTCATAAGCTTTTAAGACCAAAGATGCTACTCACCAACTAGGATGTAGAACATAAACGTTATGAACTTTGTTATACTAACTGACTCAGTTGTCCCACAAAACTATGGTCCTAATCCATGAAACCCAATAAACTAATCTCATGAGGTGGTGTTTGGTTATATCTAGAAAGCATCCATAACTTGCCTATATGTACTTTATTATATAAGAGTAAGTGAAAAGCGTAGTGGATTATGAGCAGAGCTGCTAACCTCAAGGTCAGCAGTTTGAATCTACTAGTCTCTCTGCAGGAGAAAGATGAAGATTTCGGCTTCCAAAAAGATTTACAGCCTCAGAAAACCTATACAGGGTCACTATGAGTTGAAACTAACTCCATGGCATATAACTACCACTGCCAAGTCAAAAAGTATTGCTATAAAATCATAGAAACCTTTATTAAAGAGAAATACCAAACTGTGAAGCTGTTGTTTCTCAACTTACCCTTCATCTAGATCTATATACTCAAGGGGATATTTCCATCTTTCTAACCCTTTGTGCAAAGAATTCTTCATTCTTGGATTGACACCACATCAAAACGTTGGTTTTGGCAACCTCAAGGGACTGAAATCATATTTCTTAGAATGTTCGTTGAAAATTAGGAACAAAAGGAATCCTGAAGGGCTGTTGTTGTTAAGTGCCGTCGAGTTGATTCCAACTATCTAGAACATGGTCTTCTTTAGAGAACATTCCATGTGTGCTTTACAGATTCTAAAGAATTAAAAGTAATTTATTTAGAAATATTTGATTTACAAACGAGGACACACACACACAAAAAAAAGTAAAGAAGGAAAACAATAAAGTACAGAGTAGAGCTACAAGATTTAGAAATCAATAAAGCAACAGTGTTTCATTGTCATTGAAGCAGAGTGGTAGAAGTCATACATAAGACGTATAGATTATTGAAGAACAGGAAGAAACGTTACATATACAAATTTAACATATGTTAAAGGAGGCACTGTTAAAACAATGGGAAAGGGTATGATTATTGTTTAATAAAAACAGTTGGAATAACCAGTTAGAATTTTGAGAAAAATGAACCATATCTGTACTAAATAAATTTCAGATGAATTAGAATTGCAACACTGAAAATCTAGAAAATAAAATGAAATAATCTAGAAATTCCCTGGGGCTTTCTAAGTAACTGGAAAACCAGAAAAGGAAGATAGTCAAGACTAGACTGCAGAAACAAAGTTCAGTTTAGTGTAACTGTATTTGTTTTTATTGTTATTGGAAAGCAGTCTAGGAAAGCATGTCTATTCTTGGTTCCCACTCTGAAAAATTGCTCTGCTTTTCCTTATGTCATCTAGAAACCTTTTGTTTTCCATATTAGCTAATGGGACAGAGAATGTAATTCCTTTACCTTAAATTCTATTCTATAGATGCATTGAAAATTACACAGGAGCTCGTTGTGAAGAGGTTTTTCTCCCAAGCACCAGCATCCAAACGAAAAGTGACCTGTTTGCAGCATTCGTGGCATTGGCGATCCTTGGAGTACTGATCCTTGGCGCCTTCTACTTCCTCTGCAGGTAACCAAACTCGAAACATGCCTTTGGGAAGAAGAAAGTAATGCATAAAAGTTATTTCACAATAACTACTGTACCCTTTAGCTCTAGATATTGGTTTATATAGTACATTCCACTTAGTTACCTCTCTAATTGAGTTATTATTAAATTAATAAGTAATTATTTGTTCTTTGTTACTGTCATTATTATATAACCCGACTTCTCCAAACCACTGAGGTGTAACCACATTTCCTACAGTAATTATGCTAAAACACCTAACTATCTGGGCTAAGTCTATTTAAAGTAATTTTGAATGTGAACAAGAAGAAGCAACTATGCAATGCTATAAATGTAAGTCTAAGACAAGCTATTAATATCTACACTTAATGCTCTATTTAGTTCTAAGAGCTCTGGTGTACAGTAGGTTAAGCGTGTGGCTGCTAATCACAAGATCATCAGTTCAAACCCACCAGCCTCTTCGTAGGAGAAAGATGAAGCTGTCTGCTTCTGTAAAGATACATAGTATTGGAAACCCTATGGAGCAGTTCTGCTGTGTCCTATAGGCACTATGAGTTGGAATCAATTTGGTGGCAATGGATTATGTGCCAGGCACTGTGATAAACATAAAGAAAACAAAAGTTAACCAGATAGGCATGTTCCCTAAATTCATAGAGTTTTAATTCTATTTTGTTGTTGAGAAGATACACTGCCGAACATACACAAATTCAGTAGTTTCTGTTGGTACACTTCCATGACACTGATGACATTCTCCAAGGTGTGTACAGCCATTCTCACCCTCCTTGTCTGGGTTGTGCCTCCCTCACTAACACAGATCACTGTCCCCTAAGGTTTCTGACGTCTCTTTTGAGGTGTTGTTGTTCCTTCCATTCCACATTGACAGTTCCTGAAATAGCAGAATGCTCTAGGATGATTTTTTTTTTCTTTTTAACTAGTCAAGCTGAAGTATTGTTTGGTTTTAAGAAAACTTCAGAGGATAATTTTGGTTTAAGGTTTAAAGATTATTTCAGAGCAACTGTTTTCAGGGTTCATCTACCCTTCATGGGTCCAGAAAGTTGGATTCCATGAGAGTTTGAAATTCTGTACTCATGATCCGCCTTTAGATCAGGATTCTTCTAATAACGACTCGCTGGTCAACATGTTCAGTAATGGAAGCTGGATGCCATCCAGTTCTTTTGGTCTCATGGCAAAGGAGGCAGTTGTTCATGGAGGCGATTAGCCCCACAGTCCACATCCTCTTCCAACCCCTGACTCTCTTTCTTGCTCTGTTGCTCCAAAGCAAATAGACACCAATGATCATGACTTAGATAGCCACTTGCAAGTTGATCTACTAGATTTATTCTAGAACACAGTATACCCAACAGTTACAGCTATTTTTTTCCAGCTCTAGAGTCCTGGTGTGGCGCTGTGGGTTAATGCGCCAGACTGCAAAGCTGTTTGAACTGCAAGGTTGGCAGTTCAAGCTCACCAGCTGCTCCTTGGAAACCCTATACAGGATCACTGTGGGCCGGAACTGACTCAATGGCACTTAACAACAACAACAACATAAAATATTTATGAAACTTTTTTGGAACTGGGTAATAAAATTATTTATGAAAATATTTATGAAACTTTTTTGGAACTGGATAATAAAACAATTTATAACACATTTCAGAGGTCTGATATTATATTGCATGTAAAACACACTCTCTATCCCCAGAATTAATAAGTTAGAAAAATAAGTGACAAAAAATTAACTAGAAAATAGCCTTTACATTTGGAAATTCAGACACATTTTTATGTAATTCATGAATCAAGGAAGAATTTCATACAGAATTGAAGATGTAATGAAACTGTTTTTGTTGTTAAGTGCCATTGAGTCAGTTCTGACCCATAGTGACTCTGTATAGGGTTCCAAGCAGTGGCTGGTAAGCTTGAATCACTCACTTTGTGGTTCAAAATGACTTTGCAGTCCAGTGCTTTAATCCACAGCACCATACCAGGACTCCAAAACTATATTAGAAAATATAATAAAAGCAAATTAGAAAATATAATGAGCAGTAATGAAAATGCTATCTAACAAACCTTGTGAATTGCTGCTAAAGCCACAGAGGGAACTGTGTAGCCCTAAATGTTTTTATTGGAAAAGCAGGAAGATAAGCAAGTTAAGCATTTGTCCTAGTAAATTAGAAAAAGAATGCATGGAACTAGGAGTGAATAATAAAGAACAGGAATTAGTCTAAGAGAGGAGTAACAAAACCTAAGTTTGGTTCTTTGAAAAGAGCAATAAAATTGAAAATCATTATCAAGAAGAAGAGCAAGAAGGTACGTATGAACACTATGAGGAATGAAATAAGGGTGCATGACTCAGATGCTAAATCATACCCATTGTTATGAAGTCATTTGCAGCTCACAGCAACCCCATAGGCCAGTGTAGAAGTGCTTCCATAGGGTTTCCAGGCTGGTGTTCTAAACAGACTGCCACAGCTTTCTCCGAAAAGCTGCTGGTAGGTTCAAACTGATGACCTTTCGGTTAACAGCTGAGCAGGTAATCACTGTGTCAGGAGTGTTCCTACTTAGGTGCTACAGACATTAAAAAGATCAGAGAATGTGTCTTGTAATTTTGTGCCAGTAATTTGAAAACTTGAATAAAATGCAAAAATCCCTAAAAAAATGTAACTTTTCGCTTTTGATTGTATGGATCACGACAAGCTATGGACAACATTGCAAAGTATGAGTATTCCAGAACATTTAATAGTGCTCATGAGTAATCTGTACCTGGACCAAGAGGCAGTTGTTCGAACAGAACATGGGAACACTGCATGACTTAAAATTAAGAAAGGTGTGTGACAAGGTTGTATTCTTTCACCATACTTATTCAACCTGTTTGCTGAGCAAATAATCTGACAAGCTGGGTTCTATGAAGAAAAACATGGCATCAGGATTGGAGTAAAACTCATTAACAACCTGCAATATGCAGATGATACAACCTTGCTTGCTGAAAGTGAAGAGGAATTAAAACATTTACTGATGAAGATCAAAAAGCACAGCCTTTGGTATGGATTACATCTCAATGTAAAAAAAACAAAACTCCTCACCACTGTACCAATAAACAACGTTCTTATCAACAGAGAAAAGATTGAAGTTGTCAAGGACTTCATTCTCTTGGATCAACTATCAACACTCATGGAAGCAGCAGTCAAGAACTCAAACGACATATTGCATTAGGCAAATCTGCTGCACAAGACCTTTTTAAAGTGTTGAGCAAAGATGTCAGCTTGAGGACTAAGGTGCACCTGACCCAAGCCATGGTATTTTCATACGCATGCGAAAGCTGGACAGTAAATAAGGAAGACTGTAGAAGAATTGATGCATTTGAATTATGGTGTTGGAGGAGAATATTGAAAGTGCCATGGGCTGCCAAAAGAATCAATAGATCGGTGTTGGAAAAGTGCAGCCAGAGTGCTCCTTGGAGGCCAAGATGGCCAAACTTCATCTCTCATACTTCAGACATATTGTCAGGAGGGACCAGTTGCTGGAGAAGGAGATCATGTTTGGTAAGGTGGAGGGTCAGAGAAAAAGAGGAAGACCCTCAACAAGATGGACTGACCAGGTAGCAGCATTGATGGACTCAAGCATGACAACAATAGTGAGGTTAGCCCAGGTTCTGCTGTGCATAAGGTTGCTATGAGTCAGTACCGACTCGATGGCACCTAACAACAACAACAACCATTAAACCAACTGAGTCCATAGTTTAAAATCTTCTTAAAAAGAAAATCTCAGGCCATGTAATTCTATCACAAACAAGTAAAAACACATACTGTGGCAGAAAATAGAAAAATAAAGAATACTCATAAATTTCTTTTTTAGATAAGTATCACTTTGCTAATCAAACTTAAGCATATGAAAAAAGAAAATTATGGGCAAATCTGGTTCATTAACCTGTATGCTACAGGTTAAAATTTTGCAAAACAAATCTTAGCAGTACATTAAAATTTTTAAATTACATCACAACAATTTTGAAAATATTCCAGGAATGCAGAGTTTCTGCGACATTAAATATTAGCTAATATTTTCGATCTTGGAAGCCTGACACAGGGTTGAATCAGAAATGACTTAATGGCACTTAACAGCAACAACAACATTATTTCATCTTATTAGCCGATTAAAGAGAAATCTTACAACTTTCTCAGTGAAAAATCTTATTAAAATCTAGGAAAAAGAAAAGGGTATCTATCTACAGAACTTTTATATCAGGAACAAGAGAAGGGTGTCTGGTGGATTGCCACAAAGATTCTGACCTATCACTATTCATAAATTATATGATCACATATGTTTAGAAAATCCAAAAGAATCTACAGAAAGATTGTTGTTATGAGGTGCCATCAAGTTGGCTTCATCCGACTCATAGAAACTATGCACCACAGAATGAAACACTGCCCTGTTCTTTGCCATCCTCACAATTGTTAATGTTTGAGCCCATTGCTGCTGCCACTGTGTCTATCTGTCTCATTGAGGGTCTTCTCTTTTTTGCTGATCCTCCAATTTATCAAGCATGATGTCCTCCAGGGGCTGGTACCACTTGGTAATGTGTCTGAAGTATGAGACAAAGTCTCCCCACCCTGGCTTCTAAGGAGCATTCTGGCTGCATTACTTCCAAGACAGATTTGTTTGTTCTTCTGGCAATCCAATATAGTTGCAATATTCTTCTCCAACACCACAATTCAAATGTATTGGTTCTTCTCTGGTCTTTCTTATTCATTGTCCAACTTTCACATGCATATGTTGTTGTTGTTGTTAAGTGCCATCTGTAGAGTCGGCTCTGACCCATAGAGACCCTGTATAGGGTTTCTGTAGAGCACATGCATATGAGGTTGTTGAAAATACCATGGATTGGGGTCAGGCTCTTGAAAACTTTAAAGAAGTCCTGTATAGCAGATTTGCCTAATGCATTCCATTGTTTGATTTCGTGACGGTTGCTTCCATGAGTGTTGATTGTGGATCCAAACAAAATGAAGTATTTGACA